GTCGAATCTACGAGAACGGAAGTGATGACTGGTATTGTCGCAGAGCTGTCTTGGTCTGCCTCGTAGGGCGATCGAAGTAGACGTGGTAAATTGTTGATCTGATTGTAGGGGTGAGGTGCGTGATGAGATGACATGTCGTTGGAAGTCAGCTCGCACGTAGACTATGCCATGGTGCTATACTGGATGCAACCTGCACAACATTTCAAGCCAGATCGTCAAGCTCGTAGAGCACCCGCGCATTCCCTATCTCGTGGCCTCATCCAGCATCTTTCGATGCGATTCATTCAAACACGGACCAAGCGATAGACCTACAACGTACTTCCTCATCACGCTGGTCGTATGAAACATGCCACATGCGTGTCTCGCATGCTCGCTCTGATTGCACTTCGACCTAGAACTATTGGAATCTTCCTGCTCCAAGCATCGTGTTGCCCGATTCATCGTGGACGCCTGGATTTTCCATACACTTTGTAGTGCTACGCGTTCATTTCTACGAAAACTGCGCTCTACTACTCGGCCCTGCCCTCACTTCGCGCCTCCATTGCAACGTACACAGCGGCAGACGAAAGTCGCGAAACCAGTCCGTCGACCTACGTCAGGCGGTGCTCAAAACGTTTCCTTTCGAAGAGCAACGACAACAAAAAAATGCGCCTAAAAAGGAGATTGCCGTTCACTTTTACTGTCTCAACCATCTGGAAGAGCGATACAGGGGGCGAAATACGTAATGCGCACATCAAAATTTAGTTTGATGACGAAGGGCTGTGCTCTGACCCATTCATTGTACCCAGCGGCACTACCTTGTATCTTGAAATTTGTATGTACTTGTATCTAATTGTGATGGGTTTTGGTCGTGATTGAGTTGTTTGTTACCAGTACCAATAATGTTACCATTGTTTGATTGGATAAAATACGCCCATTTTCTACAATGAGATACTTCCTCTGTTCCAAAAAGGTGGAGACAATTTCAGAGGTCCGTATTTTATCTTATTTTTTGTATTCATGAAGCACGTCAAAACTGTATTTTTATGCATTTTTCAACTATCACGACAGATGTGAACATGATGTGAATCACTCCCCGTCGTCATTAATAGGACTTCGATTCAAAAACACAATCACTGATCACCTGCTCCAGAATATTGGAAATACCACATCGCATATTGGAAAAAACGATTGGAGTGATCATAAAGTGAACAAAATAGTGAAGACAACGTATTTTCCAGATAGATCGATAACCGTCATATAGACCAAGAAAAAAGGGAATTGACGTATTCATTGATCAGTAAACATGGTGACTGATAAAAACCACAGGTATAGAGCGCTAAACACATCACAGCCAACCAAGCACGCTTGGTGTCCCATCCATTAAAGATCACAACTCAAATAACTCAATGGTGCTCACCAACTTCACCTCCATGCTGGAACGGCTTCATGCCCAAAGCGCTTCCGATCGCATCTTTCTCGAAGAGAGCCTGACTGCGTTTGGTCTCGAAGCTGCCGA